TTGTACTCAGGCCGAAGAGTATCAATCAAATATTGCTCCAATGCTAAAATTGCCCCTTTATCAGGTCCATGCTAGCAACAGAAGATAACAATCAAAGAGAAGGAGTTAAGCCCATGTTTCATCATATCGAATGAGGGAAGTGTCTTGTACAGATGCAACTTTTAGACTGAAGTGCTTTGAAAGGCGAAAGTATAAGTACTCGAGCTTCCTCCATACCGCTTGCCATTGGTAGTACTGATAGTACTACACAGCCCTTGGTAGCATGCATGGTAGGGGCCCGTAAGGCCACCTTTAGCCCCTAGCATGCATCATTAATGAATAGTATCATATACGTTGAGGTTCACTAAGACCTTTATTTAACCTCTTAGTATCACTTGTAGCTTTAGAAGAACCAAAACGAAGTTGCCCTCGTGGAGATGAGGTAATAGAAGAGCAACCACCCGAATAAAACCCAAAAAAGATGGGAAGAACCCGCTTCCCCAGGAAGGGTAGAAGTAGCATAGGCTCTAATTGGCACACCTGCAAAGGCATTAACAACAGTAGAATCAAGTAATTCCCGGATGAAGCGCTTAACCCAAGAGAGGACTGATAATGCCCAAAGGTTAACCAATCAAACTCCTTTTTAACCCCAAAGAATAACAAGAGTATCAATGAAGACCAGAAGGAAATCGGCTCGAGGTGCTGGATGATACAATTATGTCAAAGGGTAGTTCTTTTCATCATCAGAGGATAACCAAGCCAAATGAAACACCAGGTAACCAAAGATAGAAGTAAGGTCAACCAGATTGAATCTCTGAAGCTATTGCTTCGATAAGGAAGCACACCCAAAGGGTAAAGATTAAGGTAAACATGAAACGACCTAAAATCCAAGCTAGTCGGCCTATAATAAGAGTTAGAAGGTTCATGAATACAAGAAGTAATGATGACCCCCCCATATAGGGGGGGGTCAACTAAATCTAGTCAAGGAACCATTGCCAAATGCAAATGGCAAAGATTAAGAAGAAAGTAGGAAAAGCATAGAACTAAATCATTCAATTTAGGTTACATATGAATCCAAACAAGTAGCCAATGCTACGTCCTTAACTGGTAGTTCGTACCACCCTTGCAAAGATGGTATCAGCCACTATCTTCTTTGATTCAAACTCTCAACTCACTCTACCCATCCTATCACTCTTACTCATCGTTACACTTGCTTACTTTCTGCCATCCTTAAGTGTACACTAGGCTTAAGAATAGAAAAGGAAGTAGGAGGGAAGGAAACTTCAAAAGAACCGTATGGAGGTACTACCTGGTGAAGACCTGAAATGTGAACCAGAGGAATAGGGTATCGACGATAGGAGAGAGAACTACAGGGGATAAACGCCATTTTTTTGCTTGGTAGTTGCGGGTTGGTATGGTATGGTTGCTATGCTAGGGGGGGCTACCCTACAACGGCATGGTTTGCCCATGCCGTTGATCATTCGGGGCCTCCGGCCCCACCCCCCTCTGAATCAAGTGTATGGCAGGGTGAGCGGGATTTGAACCCACATCTTAGAGTTTGGAGCTCTACATTCTACCGTATTTAACTATCCCCCTATTCTGATTTACTCTCTCCCCCCTCTCTGCCTTCTTGGCTAAGTACTCACCGATAACCAGTATCTTCCCTTAATCTTACCCTATATTCACCAACTTCCTCTTATTCCCTTATCACTTACCTGGTTATTCTCAGATATTTCGATTTATCCAAGCTGACAGGGTAGGTAAGAGTCTTCAGGAGAGGTTATACTTAAGTGAACGGTTAAAATAAGAGGGCCCCAAGGGGCCGGGGAATTTGAAGTTATAGGGGGCCTCCTTGGAGGCCCCCCAAATTAGAAGGTCTCAAGGGATTAGAATCTGTGGAAAGAAGGAATCGACGATAGGAGAAAGACAGTTAAAGGGGGGGGGCCTAAAGGGGCTAAAGCGGGCTTCTCTGAAGCCCGGAAGCCCGGGGCTTCAAAGGAGCCCCGAAGGATATATAATAAAAAGAGATTATAAAAAACAACCAAATACTCCCCCTTTTCATGCGGTTAAATATACAGTGAAAGGTAACACCAATAAATTCACCGGCCTGATGCGAATTAGGAAAGGAGTTAACAAGGTTAAACCCTTCATTACTAAGCTCATATAAGAAAAGCCCATTGGCATGAGGGGGGGGGGATGACCTCGACCTCGACCTTGGTTATGGTTGGTAGTTCCGGTCCGCTCCGCTCCGCTCCGCTCCGCTCCGCTCCGCTCCGCTCCGCTCCGCTCCGCTCCGGGTAGGGGCTAAACCCCCCTGGTAGTTGCATGAGGCAAAACCAATTATCATGTAATCGACCTTTAGGAAAAGCTTAGCTATCCAAGAGGAGGTGGCTAAGTAAACAGCGGATAAGGGTTGGTGAAGAGGATAGGTAGAGGGGGGGATTCTTTTAAGGCAGGGCCTCCTCTGAAGCCGGAGGCCCGGGGGGGCCCTTTAGGGCCCCCGCCCCTCTTAAGTATGGTTTGCCGTAGTTTAATCCAGGAGTCTGAAGTTCTGCCTTCCTAATCTTTAGGAATTAACTCTCGTGTCTCTGGAGTACTCTCTCTTGACTAGTGGAACAGGGTCTCTCTTTACTACCGTCTTTAGTAACCGGGGAGTAGCGTGTTTAGTAAGCGGAAAGTAAGAGATGAATGATTCAATCATTAATGAAGTTACTGATAGTAGTGTAATTACTCCAATTTGTTGCTTTTTATCCTCTCTCTTTAGTACCTTACGGTAGAACCAGGGGGTAGTTACATTACTTCATTGTAGAAGGGAAACACTCTTGCTTATCGCCTGTACAGGCGAATCATTGCGCCTTCGGCGGCGGGGTTTAGCCCCGGGGGCCGGGTTCATTAAGGGGCCCCGGATCCGTAGGATCCCTCTGTAACCACAAGGGAATTAACACTTCCTAAAGCAAGTTGTGTGCACTTAATTAGTAAGAGGGAAGTTAATCTTCTGCAAGGAACTAGTAAGGATCAAATTGCTATCAAATTGAACACCTTTAAGACTCCTTAGTAAAGAGTTCAGGATGGAAGAGGGATTGGATTGGATGCCTTCTAACTTCTTAGGTACTTGGGCTAAAGCCCCCAAGGGTTGAGTGATAAATACCGGGCAGACTGGGATTTGAACCCAGGAATGCGTTGAGCATTGCCCCTTTTCAAGAGAGGCACCTTTAACCAAACTCAGTCACCTGCCCAGATTTTATCTCGCCTGTACAGGCGAATAATTAAGGGGGGGAATTGTTAGATTGGCCTAGCCCGGGCCGTAGGCCCGCTAGGGCCCCCCTAGCAAAGTTAGAAGAGGGAAAGCAAGGAGCAATAAAACCTCGATGAAGGGGAAGTAACCTATAAATTCTAGGGGGAAAGGCTTGCTTAAACATGGACGTTATCTCTTAGATAATCTCGCACATCTAGGGCATCATCGAGAAGATCGTTCACCTCAAAATACCAACATGGATCTGCAAAGTTTGCAAGCTGATACTGAGTATCGTATAACGGTAGTTAAATCGTCTACTTCACTAGAATATGGAGGGTGTATAGGGGGGGCTTCAGAGAAGCCTAGGGGGGGGGGGGCTTCAGAGAAGCCCCGGTTCTATCTTGCCCCCCCACGTTTGACCCCTTTCGGATGATGAGGTAATCACTGGAGCGACAGGTAACACTTGGATCGAACCATGAGTCCCAGCCTGTTACTACGAAGAATCTACGGGTTATAGAACTTTAGACTCGGGGCTAAAGCGGGCTTCTCTGAAGCCAGGGGATCCCCCTCTGAACCCCCCGCCCTAAGGTGCCCCCTAAAACCTAACTCCCACTGAACTAATACGCGGGCACATCTGATACAAACCCTCTGCCTGGTGTATTGATTCTTCTTCGAGCATGCCAAATGACTTCTGTCAGTCTACCTAAGATTAAGATACGCAGACAACATAATAATGGGATTCTCAAGCAATACCCCTGATTCTACCACCCATAGGGATCGAAGACAAACAAGGGATCGAAGATCAACTGCCCCAGGATGTAGTCTACATCCCAATAAAGAAACTATAGGAACAAGTCTAACTTCGTTGGGTATGTTACTAAACAGTAACTTGGGAATTTATGTCAGTCATCATAAGACAGAGACTGTCAAGTAGCTCACGTTACTCTGTGTCCACCTCGGAGGAATGCTGGACTTCGTCCAGTCATATCGGTCATATCGGCACCTGAGCCACCTAATCAAGAACGGTTTATGATTTGGAATGGCTGGTATAGTCTTCCCGGGGGGGGATCCTACGGATCCCCGGGGGCCCCTTGGGCCCCCCCCCCCCCCGCCCCCAGCCCTATATTACACATGTCCAGATGCTCAATCCAATATCTCTACCCTTACCATAGCTTGGATAAAACCTGGTACGAATTAGATCGACTCTGCCTTCTGCCTTTGGCCTTTTGCCTTTCCCTAATGATTAACCTAAGAACCTAAAGAGGGACAAGAGAAAAATAGGGCCTCTCTTGTCTTATAACCCGGTAACAGAGGAGATACGTGTTGGCCCCCTAAAGGTCAAAGTGGCGTCTACCTTTGGTATAACAATGAGACAGCTGATTACTATGTAGCCCGGGCTTATCTGAAGCCCCGCTAATCTAGGGAAAAGGTTAACCAATTATCTCTGGGTTCTCTGAAGCCGGGCTAAAGCGGGCCTACGGGCCGCCTAAGTCTGACTGGCACTTTAGTGCCATCTAACTATAAGGGGAACTCGCACATATTCTCGGCTTTGCTGAAGTACGGTTATTCGTGTTACATCCTTACCCCTTGGTGCGTCGAAGAAGGAGAACCTGGGCTTCGAGCAGCAGACCGGCCTGGGGGATCCAAAGGATCCCGGGCCGTAGGCCCGCCCTTAATTCCTTACGGCCCATATACAACATTCTTCTTACTGCTTCTCTAGGGGATCCCCCACCATTCAGAGGAGAGTCGTACCAAGATGAGCAGAGCTCAACAGGGGGCTAAGAACGCGTTCTTTGGTAAGACCCATACGGAGGAAACCAAGGCTAAAATTAGCTTAGGGGGGCCCTTAGGGGCGGCGGTAAGATAGGTCGAGCGGCCGCCAATGCAAAGCTTATATACTTATACGAGTTCTCTGAGGGACTCCCTATTCTTCTTCATGCTTGGTATGGTTGGTATGGTAGCAACCATAGCAAGCATAGCAACCCTCAAGTGTTTTGCTATCGGGGTATTTACCCTCATGCTAGCAAGGCCGGGGTAATCTCAATTACTTGAGATTAGCCCACGTGCGTTTCTCTGCGTATAAAACGGGAGTATCTTTGTCTTCATGGGCTTAGAGGGGCCTTAGGGGGGGGGGGGCTTCTTTGAAGCCGGGGCTTCTTTGAAGCCCGGGGGTTATTTGAAGCCCGGGGGTTAAGATAAGCCCGCTTTAGCCCCCAGCCCTCTGACCTCCTATCCCTTCTTTATGCCTCAGGGCCACTTGCGTGGTCCAGTGGGACTCTTGAGTCCCGTTGCTATCGACGTACTATTATACCTTAGGTGGCTAAATGAGTAATGAATCAGCAAGCCGGCATAAGACTCTACCTGTGCTACCCTGTGAATTTCATTCAACCCTGTGATATCCAAGAAGTTACCTATCATTTCCTTACTTGACCTTATCCTTCCTTGATTCATTAATCTTAGTAATTC